CGGAAGGATGCATTCTCCTAGAATGCTTTCTGGGGAGGAAATTGGTATGTTAATGCAATTGGTGTTTGTGGAACTTTCCCCAGTGTACTTGCCTGTAACTGAGCCTGTTTTGAACTTGTTGAAGGGCTGGCTGTTGAAAGGTGGGAGCTCTGTGTGTGTGTGTGTGTTTTGTAAGGAGAAGGAGGGCTCCCATAAGCAGCATGAAGAAAGATAAAAGACATATTGCATTTTATGATGTCTGGATGCCCACCTGGAGAGAAGAGAGCCTAGGAACAAAATGTGATTTTAGTCTGTTCTGCTCAGAAATAAGGCAGCACATAGAAGGCACACAACTTAGATGGAGAAAGTAGCTGTTAATAGCCCCCAGATGTACATATTTTATCCTGAGGTGCAATTTGGCTTAATAAAATGCAGATCTAACAGTGTCCTTAAGCCACCATTTTCCTCCGGCTTAATTAGAAAGGTTATACTTTTTCAGAGGACGAAAGCATCATTCATGTCTCTGCTCATGTCTTCCAGGTTTATCTTGCTGATTATGGACTCGCCTACAGATATTGTCCCAGTGGGAACCACAAAGAATATCAGGAAAATCCTAAAAAGGGCCATAATGGGACAATGGAGTTTACCAGCGTAGATGCACACAAGGGAGTAGGTTAGTTTTTTCATCTCTCTTCCTCCCCCTGCCCCTCGCCTTCCTCCTCCCCACTTTCAAACACTTCAGAAATTAACTCAGTTTGTGAAACATGTTGGAGCAATGGTGGATCTTAATAAAGCTGAGGTGGCTTTTGCATGTGGTGACTCTGTCCTATTAAGATGAATGTAGTTCTTTGTGTTGTTGTAAAGAATAAAATGATGCAAAATGAGTGAATGTTGATTTTTTGTTCATAAAAACTAGAGGGAACTCTTGGTTTCTATTTGTTTTTGTTGTTGTTTTGTTGTTTTTGGCAAGCATAGCTTCTGAGAGTACTTCTGGGATCTTTCATTGTGGAGCTTGTGCTATGTGCTCTATGTGGTAGAAGCCAGTTCCCTGCTTCATCTGGGCTGCTGATTGGTGGAGGGAACTACGGATGGTCTGAATGAGAAGCGCTGAACCATACAACGAGAAATCTCCAATATTATTTTTCATTTATTCAATATATTTGCATCCCATTTTTTCTCCAGAAATTCAAGGCAGCAGGAAATACTCCCTCCAATTTTTGTCCCACAACTCCATCCCCTAGAGTAGGCTGAGAGATAGTGACTGGCCTGAAGTCTCCTGGTGTCTTCAACTTGGGTCTTCTCACTTTAGCAAGGGAGATTTTACCTGATGTGGTGCCAGTCATTGTGGCCATGCTGATTGGAGACTGTGAGACTACAACTACAATTGGGCTTTACATTCAGGAAAGCTGCATTAAGTTGATCTTTAGGCCACCTGTCTCTTCTTTTCCAAGTATTCAATGACTAGATTCATGTCTGTGTGGAATCTCTTAGTACCACAAGTCTCACTGCCTAGCTAGTTTTTTACACATTTAAAAAGATATTTTAATTAAAACTGGGAAAGTGGCGTGCTGAAAAGGAAAGCACCACTCTCTTGTATCACTGTTACATCCTTAGAAGCCTGCTAAACTTCCTTAGAAAGCCAAATGGCCTGTATAAATGTTCTTAGAACATATAAATAAGGGGTGGCTGCTCCCTGTTGATTGACTGATTGATTGGTTATTTATATGGCTGCCTATCTCATTCTAGGCGGCTCACAACAATATATAAAAACATGGTTAAAACAAAAATACCTTTTCCCCCAGGCGCCAGACCAAACATCCTTGCAGCTCAACCCACAGCCTAACCCAGTGCGTGGGAGAAGAGCCTGGTCTTTACAGCACTCCGGAAAGCTAAAAGGGTAGGGATCCCTCTGATCTCAGGTGGGAGGCTGTTCCAAAGGGCTGAGGTGGCCACCAAAAAGGCACACCTCCGAAGTCCCATCAGGTGGGAACATTTAAGAAAGGGGACCTGGAATTAGAAATACACTCATTTACGTGGGGGGAGGGGGAACCATAGGTAAGGAAGGAATAGGGAGGAGTGCTAGAGGGAAGTGGTTCATAGCATATTGTATTTGGTCATGTCTCTCACGACAACCTCTTTTGAATAAGTAATCTCGACCACCACCACCAGCCATTTTGTGCAGGAGTCTGCAATAGGCTCTCAAAATTTCAAATGTATTTACCAGACCAAAAATGTGGGGGATCCCAAATGTGGTTTGGCTGACTGAATTTGAGTTCACACAATATGCTACATTGTGGTTCACTCAATGAGCTGTTGTCAAGTAAATGATGGATAGATGTTATGTGTGAACCTAGTCATTGTCTCCACAGTAGTTGTGGAGCAGGACTAGTTTCCTAACACTCATACTTTCAGTGCCTCTCTTTTTAATTAGAATTAGCTGCATTGGATTTTAATGTTAGATATTCTAAAATAACAAATTCTTGATTAATTGAGACATAGTGTATAGTATAAGTCATCTGTATTAGAAGAAAGAATGCCTCTTTTAAGATGTTTCCCTTTTGCATGAATCTTTGTTTTTGTGTATTGTCGAAGGCTTTCACGGCCGGCATACGATGGCTGGTGTGGGTCTTCCGGGCTGTGTGGCCGTGGTCTTGAAGTCTTGTTTCCTAACGTTTCGCCAACACCT